AATTTCCTACTGAGAGCAACTTTATAAATGTGAGAAACAGCAAATCTTTGACTAATAACTCATCTCAGCACAGACAGAAGTAGGAACAACTAACACCAACCAACCACTGAGGGAAGAACAGGACTGGGATGGAGCCAAACCATTTTTTGTGAAGGTATCATCATTGCAGGGCACAAAAGCACTATGTTGAGATAAGGCTGGGGATGAGCTCCCAGCAGTAATCAGTCTTTTATTCCTGAAAACTCTTAAATCCCTGTTGCAGAGGCCCTTAATTTCAACACTGAATTAATCATTTACCTAATCTAATGATAGGAGAAATCGCAGAGCAATTTTGTTTGAAAACTATGACGTCTTCACCCTTATCCTTGGGCTTCATGACTGTCGACATAAGTATTTCAGAGCTTGACTCCTGGGCACAGCCCTCTGTTGAAATACCTGAGGCCTTGTAGTAGATTTCAAGATTAATAAACTCAAGTATCACCACATAACTACCTTATAAACCTTCCAGATCTATACAAACAAGAAAAAAAAGAAGAAAAAACAGAGAAGGCAGTTCCTCTAGGTTCCAGTTAGTGTTGCAATTTTAATTGAGAGGCCATCAGCCTCATAAAATTTTGTGCAATTCAATAAAACCTTCATTTCCATGAGTACTGAAAGCAAGCCATAAATTCCCTGTTCCCAGCAGATAGTCCATCTACGAACATTCTCCCCCTACCCCCACTGAGTCAGTGCGGTTCTCTACTCCACGTTCAGCCCAGGAGGATACTTACTACGTGCCAGTTTCTCTAACGTAATCACCTTAAATACTCATGTCCATTAAGTTTAAAGATCTTAGGACCATTAAATGGATCTCTTAGATACTAAGTCCCATATGGAGTAAATCTCTTTGGCAGTTTCTCCATTGGAAAGCTGCCTTGGATTCAAGGCTGATCTCTATCAGGATAAGATACCGACGTTCTTTATGCACTCCTTGATAGCAGCGCAAAGCATATGCAGTCCTCTCAGCACAACATGCAAAGCAACACATCCATCAGTAAGCAGCTTCAGAAACAGTTCTGCAAACTATAAGGAGATCTCAGAGGGAAACTCAGCTTCAGAACATTTTATCTTTTAACAGCTTCCTAACCCCTCACCCCACTCCTGCAGCTTTACCTTTTAGAGAGAGTCACACCCCCACTCATGCCAATTCTTGCATCCAGATTTAACAACTACAAAAATAAAATAAAAACGTGATAAGACAACCTTCACAAAAGAAAATAAATCAAATTTTTTTAAAAAACAGCATTTTGAGGATAAATCTAGAGTGCCTGCACTAAGCCATAACCTCTTTACTGATGTTTTTTTCCTTTCCCTTAACTGATTCAGGGACTGTAATAACATTTAATCCTCAGAAGCTAATCTAAATGTAACACTCAAAAGAAGACAAAGACAACACAACAGAAAAAAATTTGGCCACTGCCTTTTGGGAGTGCTGCTTTATCCCCGGAGCAAGCGCATTAATAGAGCTTGGAATGAAATGCCATTTTATTCTCTGTAGCGGGGAGGGGATTAGGAAGTTGTCTTCTCTAAACCAAGTCTGAGTCATGGCTCTATGAACACTGAGAAAAGGATGTGGAACGAAATGAAGGGCGGGGAGCACTGGCTTTTTATTTACACGCTGCTTCTTTTGTGGGTGGTTACTGATGCGCACAGTTTGCTAAACAGGGAAGGAAGAGGAAAAAAGTTCTAGGTCCCCAGACTTTAATTCTGTTGGTTAACAAAAGAAAAAAGTAATAATGTTCCAATTACAACAACATCATTGAGACAATATGTCGGTGGCAACTGTCCAATTTACCACAGCATGTAAGCAACAAGGGCAAGTTGCTTAAGGTGCTAAAAGCTGCGCTCAGTCGTTTCTTGTTGCTAGGATCTTCTTCCTGGGAGAAAGAAACAGGTTGGACAGAGCCCAGAACAAAGAAGAAGGAGACACTGTGGTAGGAGGAACGCGGAGACAGGAGCAGGTTGGGTTCAGGTGGAGAGATGAGGAACAAAGTCCATTGCACAAGTCAGGCCATGTAGGCATCAAACCTAGCGTCCTACCTTGAAGTAGAAACCAAACGCTAACGACTGTGTCAGTGATTAAATATGAAGCTCAGCACTAAGTACTTCACTTCTGTTTCTATACAAAAGGGGATAGGAAGGTTTACCTGCCTACCTCACAGGCATGCTGTGAAGGGTCACTGGTGGAAAGCTTGTACAATATTCCTAAGTCCTGCAATGCTTGATAATCACTAAGGAGAGGAAATAGTCCGTGGAACACCTGACCACTTGTGCAGAGCTGTAGGTGTTGATAATGGAATTATAAAAGTCAATAAATGCCAAGAAAACACTGTTTTATTGTTTTAGATATTTCTTATCTTTGCTTCAACATGGACTCCGAAAAACAGGGTACTCACTGTGGAAACAGCCCCAGCTCTATTCTCCTCTTCCTCCATCAGCTATGCTGATATACAATGGCAGAAGACAACAAATACAGAGTAGATTGGTCTCGCAAGGCACAAGTGCCAGGGGCAGGTCAAAGAGTTCGGTGAAACAGGGATAATATAAGCTAGGGAAGAGACACTACAGGAAGGAGATGCACTCTCCTCTGCAGATGGAGAAAGTGCCACTCCTGGTTTCCTTTCGTTACAGGAGCAGTTGTAGTCCAGCACTCGAAGCAGGCAGACCTGGGCTTTGTTCATACTTTGACTATATTCCAGTTCATGTGATTTTGCTGGAGTGCCAGTTTATTCCTGCCAACCAAGCTACTAGATCTGCATAAATCAGTCTCACCTATCTTAGCACTTACTGTGCTTGTACGTCTGATATGAAAGCGCAAAACAGGATGAGCAAACCATAGTTTTCACTGAAGTCACAGGATCTTGTAATTTATTACCATAAACAGGCTGTAGAAAGACTTGAATGTACAACGCCTAACAAGCGGACCTCACAACATGCAGACTTCGAGTCCTACCAATTAAGCATGAATGCCAGTGTACACAGGAAGTTTCCCAGTCCCTGTCCCAGCCTTATCATGACCCACACGTGAGGCATGTGCATTCTTCAAGAGTGTTTGTAACAGCGTGTTGTACACCAAGGCAATGATCCCGAAAAGGATCACTGCATACTGCTGTAAGAGATGCGTACACTGCAGGCTGATGGGGCAAAGCAATGATTCTTCCCGCATGTGCAATTATCAAAGGGTATTATCAATCCCAGATCATGCACTCCAACATGCAACTCAGTGCAATCCTGGCTATTGCTGGCAATTTCTACTGTAAAGAAATAGATAGTATGATGTTCACCTTCTCCCTCAGTTTCACTAGTGCCACACAGCTTGTCCCTTCTCAAGGCATCTCCCAGCCACATTATCTTTTCACACAAAATTCACATTAGGGCAGGTGTCTCTTTCGGCTGCCTAAGGAATCTGTCCCTTTATGACAGCTCAAGTTCACACGGCCTTCAAATAGAAGGGCAATGTACAATAAGGCCAGAAGCCAGGGACTGGCAGATGATGAAGGCTCAAAGAAAAGGGGAAGGAACCCCTAAGAGACCATAAACACATTTTCTGAATCTTGAAAGAAAGAAGTCATTAGCATTTGCGTTGGTCTCAGCCACTAACCTTTATGGGAAACGGTTGCGTTCCTGAGTTTCCTATATTACCAGTCTTCATCTCCACAAGAAACAAAAAAGACCAAATGAAACTGAAACCTCAGGAACCAAACTTAAGACTACTATAAAAAAATACGTTAGTTACAGTCTAGTAATAGCAAGTAAAGAACATAATTCAAGGTCCCAATCTCTTCCTTTACAAAGTCACAAGGATAAATCATTGCTACATGTGTTCCCAACAACTGATCGCACATCTGCAGAAGCAAATCCAAGAAAAGACTGAATTGATCAAAGACTGTCAGAACTTTATGTCCTATGAATTTTTAAAATTTTATTTAAAAACAGAATTTAGAATTCTACTATGGAAAACTGCATGAAAATGCACGCAATGTGTTAGCTGCCTTGTTTTGGCTTCTTTAGCAACTTATTGCTTGACTGTCCAAACAAAAATGTGAAATTACAACAGGTTATGTGATGCTTTGGCAGCAAACATAATTTTAAATAAAGACAGCACAATATACTGCACATCCCACTAACATATTCATCACTACTATATTATCTATTTATGCAATTAAGTATCATACAGTCTGGACTGGACCCAACTGGACTACATATGTTGCTACTCCAGCTTACTGCATGTTGGCCAACTGTTTACCCAACTGAGATCCGAGTGCTGCTCTTGACAGTGTAATTGCTTTGGACTCATTAATATTAAAGAATTATAGAAAATATTTTTTCTTGGACAGCTGTTAGTGCATGTGGAACAATAAGCTATATAACACTACTGGCAAATACAAATGGAATTTAGACACTAAATACGCTCACGGCAAAAAGACATTAAAGGTCCACTAATTGTGCCAAGGTCAATAAAAAAGGTCAGAAAAATCATTGCACCCATTCTAAGAAAACATTCATGATAATTACAACTCTATTTTCATTGAAATTTACAGGGCTAAGATTTAGGCTGTTTACCTTTTTCTTCCCTAGACAATGAAAACTTTAGAAGTGGTGCCATTCTTCCTACTCCCATGCACCAGCCCAATACTGCAATGTGTAGGTTAAATACATTGGGTCAAAGTTTGAACAGATTAAACACATTTCATTGCCATTTTGAAAACCCTAGCAAATACTCCCATTTAATGTGAATTTTCTAATTCACATGTCTTCTCCCTCATTCTCCCTTGCAAGATCTAACAACTTTATACTAAATGCTGTCAAGCTTGGCACAGAAAGAGAGGATGCTAGCTTACAACTCCTCAGCCCCCTAAATACCTGACAGGAGGTAAATTTACAGGAATATCCAGAGGCTACACACAGATTGTTATGAAATGCAGCTCGAACTGATGAAAAGAACAAAAATGGCTCCTCACTTTATCCACTCCTCTGCCTTGGCGGCTGCCTCCTGGTACTGCGCAGATGTCAGCTTGTAGATCTCTGCATTCTGAAATAAAGAATATAATGCTCAGCTCTAAAAATTAAAGGCATCTCAGATCTCATCCCGTCGCAAAGTTATCTTCTATAATTAATAATGATTTCTAACAGCAAACAGCATATTCAGTTCAAAGAACACAAAAAATGCTTAAAAGTTGATTTTCTTCTTAGGAAAATGCATCAAGGCCACAACATGTCCTCCATTCTGCGCTTCACCTTTGTGAAGGTAAAGAGGGGAAAAGGTCACTAACAACCAACTGTCAGCTTTGATCATTCCATGTAACCACAAAAACAAGGTGTTCCCAGCACCGAGTTATTTTGAGTTAGGTTGTGTTTTGTTCTCTTTTTTCATTAATTGCTGTGAAGGATCTAGTAAGTTACTGACATGCAAGTATCAAAATTGGCTGCTAGCACTGGAAAATCCATTTTACATTTCAGTGCTTCTACTTATGTTACTTATTCTTTAAAAGAAAATTATGCAGCCTGTTTCCCTTTTAACAACATAGGAAGGCATATCAGGTATCAGTTAAGGCACTGCCAAACAGAGTCTGGAGTGTCTTGCTGCAGGGCTTAAGAGGTTTGCATTAAATTCTCCTGAGCTTGCACGGAAAGAGTTTTAGTTCACAACGCTCAGCTGCTGAACATGGGAGGATGAATTCCTCCTCTCGGCTGCACTTACAAGCCTCCCAAGCACAAAAAGCAGAAGGGAATGGCTACGCACCCCCAGCGCCTTCGCTGCAAGGTCCTGTGTTACTAAACTGCTGATAAAGCTGCTCTAGGCAAAGCCTCTGGACTTTATACTGAAATAGCTGCAATTGCCTCACTCAAAACTCATCTGCAAGGCCCTTAGTCTGAAAAGGCACAAGCAGAAAATATGCAATAATCAATCAAAAAAGTGACAAAACGGTATTGAATGCGAAGACAGCTATTCATTTAGGGCTGGTTCTAGCTGCTATCTCGTCTCTCCCCAAATTTGGTCATTTTATATAGAATACTATTCTTGCTCTTCTTCATTTATTTTCCCATAAATGCAGCTGTGGTCCTGCGCATGATGAGACGACACATACTGTTCAGCGGTTAGAAAAAGGAAAGGACAGATATAACTCAAGTTCTATTAGCGGTTCTGCCACTTGTGCAATCTTGGGCAAGTCACCATTCTCCATCTGCAAGCGAGGGATAACAGCTGCCTGTATCACTGAAGTTGTGTGAAGCTTAGCTAATTGGAAGGTTTATACAGGTTTTCAGAGCCTAGGCTTCAAGGTGCTATATTTAAGCATTTTATCTCTGGTGCCTGAATTTATGTCACATACCGAAAAACCCACAGAACAGACTTTGCTTTTCCAAACTTTGACCTACAGAGAGACAGACTTAAACTCAGAAATCATGGATGAGTAACCACTTCAAAATGCATTTTGCCAGCAAATTGTCATTAAAGTTTTCATTTACTTACTTGTTACATAATGGTCAAACTTCTATGCTATTAAACCCATTTTATTCCTTCCTATAACGAAAAGTTCAGCTTTTAATGGAGACTTTTTCTCTGTCCTGTAAACAGACCTCATGACTTTCAGCTCCCTGCTGTTACTTATTCACACATGAAACCACAAGACCTGTGCTTCATTAATTAAATTTGCCATTAAAAATTAAATAATGTGAATAAGTAGATGTAAGCGTTATCTCCATGGGTTTCATAAGTCTCACCGTTTCTCCAATTACTACCCAAGCAATTTTCATATTTCATACTGTCTGATTTCTCAAAGGGACTGGATTTGAGAGATCAAAATGAGAGAAAGTGGGAAAGAGAGAAAGCAACGTAGTAAAATTAAACATTTTTCAGGCAATAGGAAGTAGACCCGTCAGATACTATTAGCCTGCAGCACTCTGCAGTGAAACAGCAGCAGGAGAAGAAAACAGGAACAAATATGTTGTACGTGAGACCCAGCATGAGGCTGGCATTTAACGCACCTAAAGAAAGAAAAAATAGCCAAGAGATTCATTTACTGGTTGCACTGTCGATTAAAGTAGTTGTGGCACAACCTTGCCTAGTTTATTAGAGAGAGAGTTCAACTGCCCAGGCCCTGTACTATCGTCAGCCCCATCTGCAACAACATCAACTACAAACATGGACAAAAGTAGCTGGGAAAGAAACTAGTATGAAATAGCTCTGGATCCTAAAGCTGATGAAAAGCAGGCAAGTGAGAACCTGAATGGAGAGGCAAGAATCTCAGTGAAGGAAAGGAAGAGAGACCTGACCTCAAAGAAACCACAAGGTACACGGCATGCTGTGAAGATCAAGGAGGGGCACAGAAGACCTTCAACCTGAAGATGAAAGCTGCTGAGTTCTAAAAATGAAAAGGAATCATCTTTGCACATGATCCAACTGGGCCTCTTGCCTTTGAGTCAGACCTCTCTGCCTTCTTCTTCCCCTTTTCCCCTCAAAAACCCTGAAAACCAATGAAGCAGTATTTCCAATGCTATAAATCAGTATCTTTAAATGCTTCCCCAAGCAAGAAAAACAGAGTTTTACCATTTAAACCTGAGTTCGTTCAACAGATAGACTTGTTAAACAGGTTTTCCTTGGCCTCTAGGCCCTTTCCTACCTTGGGAAAGTCGCATTCACTTTTGCCCTAAACACTAAATGAGCAACAAATGGGCTAAATCAGCAACAGATGGGCCTTTCAGCATGGGCACAGTCATGGCAAGATCCATGATTTGGGGCTTCTACTTACGGAGAATAATTTTCCAAGTATCCTCATCTATACAACTTCAGATGCAAGATCTGATTCATTTTCAGTATTTTACCCTATCGCACTGTGGCAAGGGATAATGTTCCAATGGCCTACAAAAATCTAGAAGTTTATAATAAGGTCGCAAATGAGGAATCAAGCCAGGAACCACCTATGCACTTCCTGTGACCTCAGCAGAGCCGCCCACACACAAAGGCTAGTCAGCAGGATCAAGGTGTGGTATTTGCACTTGAAACAGTCTGAGCTGCCCATAGTCTTAGCGAAGTCCTTTAGCTTCATAAAACGATATTCCGTTGCACAGTAAAAGAACGAACATTCAACAAAAAATTACAAGACATCAACGCTGCTTTTAATTTACTCTCACAATATTTGATGCTTGAGATAAAATGGCATCTCACAAAGAAAAAGTTGAACATGAGACCTCAACTATTATTAAATAAAGCTCCTGGCAGTCTTAGTTGCAGAAATAAGTTTAAAAACATGACCAAAGGACACCATAAGGGCTCAAATAACAAGAGACACAGAAAGAATGAATGAACCACCTAAAATGTTTCACTTCTCTCAATAAAGCTAAGCCTTAGGGGAGCCAACTTCAGAACATCAGAGCTTTGTCATATGGGGAGAGCGCTCTCCAGAGAGGACAAACAAACTAAACAAAGAAATGTTAGTTTGAAAGATTTTCCCCTGCTATTAAATGATGGTTCGTAGCAAATAATAAAAACACCAATAAGTTATAAAAATACATAACTAGAGCCTAAAGACCAACAGAACCATTTTCTTTACCCTGCTGCTTTTCTACAGCAGATTTGCTGCTATACCCTTGCTCCCCACTCCTCCCAAAACACCCTTGCACTAAAAATTCCCCTTCCAAAGGGAACCAATTTTAAAACTTAGAGCTAAATTTGGAGTAATTTTAATTCAGCATTCCTCCTTGGCCGCAAACATGCAGAGAAACTCCAACACTCACTACACTGCCCAGGCCCTTTCCACAATATATCGCAAAGAAAGTAAGAAAACAATATAGCAAAAGATGGAGTTCTCAGGGTTATTTCAGGAGGGAAAGTAATTGAAGCATAAAGAGAAAACCCTGCCAGCTCATTCTCACATTGACATTAAACCACATTCCTTACAACTTCAGTGAAACATGCGCTACTTGCGGTAACATGTAAAACAGAAAACCGAGCAACACAAGCATGAGGAACCAGAAATTAATCAGATTTTAGGCAAAATTCTTTGTGAACATCAAGCAGCAGCAGCAAAAACTTGACACCAGGACACAGATTTCTCCATCAAGTTCAGTCTTGGTCAATAGATCAGAAGGTGTTTGGATTAAAAAAAACCCAGACCACCATCACCACAGCTATCTTGAGATATTTTGACACCTCAAAGTATAGAAGCTTGTCAGTGGTCACAGCGCTTAAAGATACAAAGAGGATTAACAGCTGTTGGAATGCTGCCAGCCTAGACAAATGCTAGTGATACCTCCGATGAAACGGAGCAGGCCAGCAGAGGCCTTGACAAATGCCGCAGACGACAGCTGGGGGATTAGATGGTACAATCTGCCTCGCACCTGACAGACACATTGCTTCGATCCCCTCTCCTGACGTCCAGCAAACCTCCCGCCGCAAGGCCCACTCGAGCCGATAGGAGCACGAGAGGTGGTGCCGCTTGGCGGGGGCAATATGCGGTGTGCCCCGGGAGTAGGAAACACTGCAAACTCGGGAGAGAAAGGGGAAAGAAAAGCAGAGGTTACTTCTCATGTATCAAATGTCAACTGGGAGATGTTCAAATTCCTGCTTCCAGCTGCTTCTAAAGCCAGAAATAAGACCTCACACCACCCTGATAAAGCAGCATGACTGCCACCTGCCTGCACGCACTTGGGGACAGGGAACAAGCAGGTGTCCTAGACACAGATGCTGCCACGAGGAACAGCGGGAAGCTACAGAAAAACTTCAGTCAGTGCAGGCTTCGCGAAGCGCCTTTGCTCACAGCACTGCAAAGGGAAGCAAAGGTACACTCGGGCACCACACACCTCACCAGGTCGCTGGTTCACACGCACTATAAATCAGGTTGCACATTCTCATTGCTCAGAAGTCTCATGCAAATGGCTCCTAACACATTTGAAAAATTGCTCCATCTACTTGCACCCCTCCCGCAGGTACAGAGGCAAATGAGCTGAACCGATCTGTTCACTGGACGACCCTTTGGATCTGTTAAAATCAACCTACACAATCAATCACTGCTATCAACTCTGGTCCAAAAC